GATTTCGGGTTTGTATTTTATCTGTTCTCCTGTAATTTCTTGCACCCATTTCCAAATTTTGTAACCTAGTTGTTAAGTGAACCTGGCTTCCCCATTGACATTTTCTTTTCAGAAGTTTGCAAAAGGGGACCACAGAGCTTTGGGACACAGCAACGGTCGTAAGCATGAGCCAATTGCCAAGCACCTGAATTTTAATCACGTGATCACGGAAATGCTTCAAAGGTCATAACTGTGAAAAATGGTCATAAGTCAACTTTTTTCAGTGCCGTTGTAACTTTGAATGGTCCACTAAACGAACTGTTGTAAGATGAGGACTACCTGCACTGGGAAGGCTGTTTTTGTCAACTCCTCCTATCATCTGAAAAAGCAGAGCGGGAAGATCAGGATGAAAAGATCCCTTCTTCACACTGAAGAAAGCCCAGGCAGAATCCAGCAGGAAGCTTTGATGAAACTGCATTTCTTCCACAAAGAAACTGAGTTTCTTGGTTTGTGGTGGGAGAAGGTCGCAGATCCAGTCATCCCCCCCCCGTCTCCCCCCCTGCAAGTGTCCTTTGGCATGAAAAAAGAAAAACATGGCGGCTGGGAAATAAATCTATTGTACAGGAAACCTGTATGAGAAAACATTTAATGTAATAGTCATATGTTTCTACAACCTCTTCTCCTTCATGATCTTTGGCTTTGGTTTGCGGTTTTAATTATGTCTTTCATTGAGATTGTTTTTATTGTCGGTTGGGAACTGCTGAGAGTATGACATAAGTTAGGTGGCTATCTAAATATTTTAAATAAATAATGATGCCAATAACAGGTTTTATATTCTGTCTGTCTGACTATCATGTATCTCTCTTTCTATTCATCTCTATATCTAACATCTATCTATCTAATCTATCATCCCTTTATCTGTCTATCATCTATCTATCTGTTTATATCTGTCTATCTCTTTATGTCTGTTTATCTATCTCTCTTTATATCTGTCTNAAAAAAAAAAGCTTTTGCATTCTGCAGACCTCCGAAAAACGGCCCATTTTTTGCTCATTTTTGCCCTCCCCAGCCCCAAGGAGCCCTCTGGAAGCCTCCTAAAGGTTATGCACAGGGGGCAGGGTTTCAGGAGGCCAAAAATGCTGTATTCAGTGTGTAAGACGCACCCAGATTTTCACCCTCTTTTTTGAGAAAAAGATGCATCTTATACTCTGAAAAATATGGTATTTACCTGAAACTGAGGATACTGACATACCTCAGTACATTTTAATCAGCACAGACCATAGCAGTTACATCTCTGCTTGTTTATGTGGCAGAACAGCATGCAGTTCTACACTGAAAGCAATTTCCCATAAAGGGATCAGCTACCCTTCATTGCATGTCTTAAAACAGAGGCTGCACAGCCATCTCTTGGGGATGTTTTAATTTGGTTTCCTTTGCCAAGCGAAGGATGATCTTAATGGACTAAACTGTATTCAATAGTGAGAACATTTTAGCATGCAAGGTATAGTGTCTTAACACATACTTGAAAAGATAATAAATTTGGCCTTTGGCACCCGTTCAACTTCACTGGTTTGTCTTTGCTGATGAGATATTCGTGGATAACCTTAGCAGAGAAAAAAGGGGAAAAAATTAAGGCATTTACTATTTATCTTATTTATAGAATAAGATACTTGAGGGAGATAGTTATAGGTTAAGTGAGTCTATTTATGCATGCATGCATGCATGACTTGTAAAATTACCTCAGGAAAGGGAAAACCTTCACATGCCTTGGCTTTTCTGTAAATAAAAGATACGCATCTCAGATCTATGAATGTTGAAGAGGCCTTCCTGAAGCAATTCAGAGCAAATTATATGAAAACACACCTACTTTTTTATACCTTCCTCCACTAAGCTCTGTTGCTGCTGTGACTCAGAAGAGTGCCAGTCACAGGGGCAGCTGTAGTTAGCACCCTGGGGCTCACAATATCCCACACTGCCACAGATATGACATCCCATGTCCTCATGATCTTTATAAAAACCTACAAGAAAAAGGGAGGAGGATTTTATAGGCTAAATATTGTTCTTAAAAGACACATCTGTCACATTTGGTGTGTGTAATATATGTATAATGTATATAATGTTATGTATAATGGCAGAAATAGCAAAGATGAAGTGCATGTTTTCTTGTGCAAGCAAAAGAAATGACACATTTATTTATTTGACTTGCTGTATTTTTCGGACTATAAGACACACTAGAGTATAAGACGCACCATGATTTTGAAGAGGTAAATAAAAGTTTTTTTCACCTTGCAGGCCTCTGAACACCTTGTTTTTTGCAAAATAAAAAAAGGGGGGGATGCAGAGCTTTGGGAGGCTTGTAGAGTGCTCCTGGGGCTGGGGGAAAAACTGGCCTTTTTTTGCTCATTTTTGCCCTCCCCAGCCCCCAGGAGCACTTTGCAAGCCTCCCAAATCTTCTGCAGGTCCATTTTTGCAAAGGGGGGGCGGGGTTTTGTTAGGCCAAAAATGCTATATTCAGTGTATAAGATGCACCCAGATTTTCACCCTCTTTTTGGGTGGGAAAAAGTGTGTCTTTTATACTCTGAAAAATACGGTATAATTCAGTAATTGGCCCAAAGATACTCAGTGATCTTCCCTGGCTGAAGGTAGCTTAGACACTGATCATCTAAAGGTAAAAAGGTTCCCCTCGAACATATGTGCTAGCTGTTCCCGACTCTAGAGGGCGTTGCTCATCTCCATTTCAAAGCTGAAGAGCCCAGCACTGTCCGAAGACGTCTCTGTGGTCATGTTGCCAGCACGACTAAACGCCAATGGCGCACGGAACACTGTTACCTTCCCACCAAAGATGGTTCCTACTTGCATTTTTTACATGCTTTCGAACTGCTAGGTTGGCAGAAGCTCACTCCGTTATGTGGCGCTAGGGATTCGAACCACCCTTTCTAATCGACAAGCTCAGTGTCTTAGCCACTGAGCCACCGATTCCAATTGATCACCTGCTCTTAGTCTAATAAACTCTACCACTATACTATACTACACTGTTTATGGAAGCAAAACGTTACCAGTTAAGCCAAAATTTAATGCTCTATTGGGTTCACGTAATAACTTGCTTGGTTTGGATTTAGATGCTGTTGAATGTACCCACTATAGCGTGTAAATGATGCTTTAGGTTAGCTAGGACATTTATTTTACCCAGACCAATTGAAACAGTTGCTAATGAACAGTCATCTTTCTGATGTAGCTTATGTACTATATGACTAAGCGTAATAATTATGTTAATAAGTATATTTAAAATAAAAGGGTTGTATTGGTTATTGTTCTGAGCTCCTTTGCTTTCTGAAATAAGAGTCTTACCATACTTATGAGAGTATTCAAACAAACAAACATGTGCTTCATTCAAATATATGGTTTAGCAATGAGTTATTATTTCATACGTGAGATTCAACAAATTACGATTAAGCAGCTAATGGCTCAGAGTGGTGTGAAAATCCAACTAATAATTCAGATGTAAAGTTAAAGAGAATTTTTAATTTTTCTGCTGAAGTATTGGAATGTTAGGAAACCTTTTGTAACATAACTTAACCTACAGTTTTGTACTATTTGAAGCCGCTGCACACAACTTTTTCCATGCATCTGGATAATATATTATTTTATTTTCTAGTCTGAGGGAAATAGAAGTTTATTATTTTACCTGAAACTGATCTGTGCTTGCTCTGCAAACCAGAGTTTGATAGACAAATGAGAGAATTCACTTATAAATTGCTTTGACCAAGGGCTGTAATTATTTTTCTTTTCAGCAGACAGAAGATAGTGATCACAGCTCATCATCATGATAACCTATCAGTCTTTACACACCAGGGTGCCCAATTCAAAGGGAGACTTCAATACACGGAATCTATTTTCTTTTCTTCTTTTTTTTGAACAAATTATTTATACATTTTCACCTTACATACGTAAGTGCTTAATGAACAGTGTATTGTCTGGATCATTTTATTTATACATAGTAATACTTTCCCCACTCCTAATTTCTACCTCTACTATGCAAACATTTGTAAAACAAGTCCCTTTTGTGTCTTCATTTTCTTTTATTTTTAGCATCAATCTGTCCATTTCTGCACAGTCTAATTTTCTTTAATTACATGTTCCTCTGTAGGTGTTTCCTCATTTTTCCAGTACTGTGCAAATACAATTCTTGCTGCTGTCAAAACACGTAATATGAAGTATAGGTTCCCTTTATCATGCTTTTTCGGTATTATGCCTAACAAAAATATTTCTGGCTTATAATCTATATGTTACTGTAACATTTTTTCTAACCACGTATGTATTTTTGTCCAATATTTCTTTGCTTTTACACATGTCCACCCTATATAATACATTCCCGGTGTCTGTTACAGTTCTGCGGAATCTATTTTCTGAAGCTAGGAGCTGACTCACCTGGATGATGGCACACAGAACAGTGAGGTGGTTTTTTAAGTGTTGATACTGGGACTTCACCCAGTTGGAAATGGTCTTTCCAGGACTCAAATCTAAAACAATATTGAAATGGTGATGAATGTATAGCGCTGAGAAATAATCCCAACTCGGGGAAATTGGAAAGTGGAAGAGGGTAGAGGTGGGAGAAATGCCTAAATTGAACATCCAAGAAGCAGATGCAGACAGAGCTAAATATTTAAGAGAGGAATTTAGGAGGCAAGTAAAAAAAAGCATAGCAATTAAAGTATTGAAGCGGGCAAGAGACGATGGATGGATGATCTCTCTCTCTTTTTGTTCTGGTTTCCTTTTTCTTTTCTCTCTCTCTTTCTCTTTTTAGATAGGTGACATGATTAGAAATTAAATAGGATAGAAAAAAAGCCTTTTAATAAAGGGTAACATGATTAAAAGCTAGAATAAGTGATAGAAATAGAAGGGAGAATACTAGTGTATACGCTTTCATATAATAAAATATAAATGTAATAATTATGATTAACTCTATTTGTATTAGAATGTATGACATCCAGAGCCACACTGTTCACCCATTGATTTATTTATAAAAAATAAAAACTCAAAAAAAAACAAAAAACCCCAATCCCAACTTTTCACACAATATATATGTGTGAGGAATTTGCTTCCTAAAGGAAAAGGGAGAAAACACAGAACACAATTTAAAAATAACATACCTTTGCAGTAAGCTCTGTCCTTTCAAAATTTTGATCAACTTTAAAGCTTGCTCTTTTCCTACTCCAGGAACTCCCTTTGAGAACCAAGAGAAGTAGTATTCTGATACAGTTTAGATAAATGTACCGAAGTATACACTAATGTTTCTAAACTACGTGACTTTCATTCAAACTATGAAATCATAAATAATCGGATAAACTTTATTAAGACATGTGGCTTTTAGGTGATTATTATTTTTTTGGCAGTATTGGTAGTCCTTGACATACAACAGTTCATTTAGTGACTGTTCAAAGTTACAACGGCAGTGAAAAAACTGACTTATGACCAGTTTTCACACAACCATGATCATGTGATCAAAATTCGACTGCTTGGCCACTGACTCATATTTACGACCATTGCACTGCCCCAGTGTCACGTGATTCACCTTTTGCAACCTTCGTACAAGCAAAGTCAATGGGGAAGCCAGATTCACTTAACAACCATGATAATAGTTTCAGTTTCAGTTTCTTAAATTTCTATGCTGCTCTTTTCCCCCGAAGGGGACTCAGGGCAGCTCACAACTCGAACCGGGGAGGGGGATACAGACAAAAGATTTAACAACTGCAGTGATTCACTTAACAACGGTGGCAAGACAGGTCATAAAATGAGGGGGAGGGAAATGCACTTAACCAATGTTTCACTTAGCAACAGAAACGTTGAGTTCAGTTGTGGTCGTAAGTCGAGGATTAACTGTAATCACAGTAAAATATCAGTTCACGAATGGTTGGCCCTATAAGTCAAATCAATAAATGAATTGCAAACTATTTATGCTACATTATCCTTAGCTGTATCGTGCTGAGAAATAGCCACCTCTTAACTTTTTTAAAAAAAGTTGGATTACAGACCGTGTGTCTTTTACACATGGACTATAAACACATTTTCAGTAAGTAAAATTTTCTGAAATTTTGAAATCCACTAGTGTGACTCAAAATGACATAAAAACAGAGATAAACCACTTCAGCAGACCAGACCAGTAGAAGTATACCTGGAACTAGAATAGTCAGGTTATATAGAGAAAGATCACTTGTATGCATCAGAAAGCAAAAGTGCTACATTCAGAGGAAAAAGGTGATCTGCTAGCTCCCCAAACTGTAATCAGAGTGTTACGCAGAGAAGCAAAAGCCTTTCTTTGATCTTAAACGCAAAGACCATCTGTGATTTTAAGCAGTAGAGGCGTGGGGGGGGGGAAGCAACCATATTAGGTGTGGAGAAACAGAGGGACAAGAAATCCTGGAAGAATAATCCTTCGTGAGAATTTTGTGTGAGAAAGGAGGGGAGGGCACAGGGAGTTTCCATTCATTTCATTTTTTTTTTAAAGGGAGCCCATGGATTAACTCATGCTAAAAGCTGACACATTAGGTCCCAGCTTCCCACACTGCCACATTTGGCCAGCAGTTGTGCAACTAGGAACAGATCGGAGCTCAGGCTGATTTTCCCATACGATTGCCACGTTTGAAAGCAGTAGTATATAGATGCTACTAAACACTATATAAAACCCTCGTGTCTGTTTGATGTTTTATAATCTTCGACTGAGGGAAAGCTTGCATCAGAGCGCAAAACTTTTGTCAACAAAGATACCACAAACGCACTGTGTAACATACAGGACCCAGTACTCCCAAGGGAATGAAATTTGGGGTCGTCCCCCCCATGGCCATGTAGTCCTCATTTTCAGTGTTACCTCACGGTTTGTCACAAGTCGATAGGGGAACCCAGAAGAAACTGATACGATTCTTGACGCTCCTCGCCACTCCTCCCCCACAACAGAATCTTTGCTGCAGGGAAGCTTGTAGGGATAAAGTCAACGGAGAAGTGACACACCCTATGTTAATCTCTTTGCATTTTCTCCCACATCTGGATGAAGCCACTTACGTGCCTGCTGGGAAGCGTGACCCGTCAAAAGCGTGAACGTCATAAGCGCGCCGACAACACTGCGGCTCTAAAACCGCGATTTCAAAAGCGCACCAACAACAGTGCGCCGACAGAAGCGCAATTTCATTTAAGGTAAGATTTAGGGTTAGGTTTAGGGTTAGGTTTAGGGTTACATTACAGCGCGCTTCTGTCGGCGCGCTTCTGGGCTAATTAATCGCTCATTCGTCGTGCGGTTTTGTCACTGCGCTTTAGACACCGCGGTTTAGTCAGGCGCGTAAGTGGCTTCATCCAGATGTGGGAGAAAATGCAAAGAGATTAACATAGGGTGTGTCACTTCTCCGTTGACTTTATCCCTA